CACACACACACACACACACACGAAACCACATCAACAAGCAACCTGCCTTTCCTCTCTAGTCTCCACTTTTAGGAGGTCTGCTTCTCAGATTTACTTTTTGACAAGTGATGGAAATTCTGCAGGTGAATCACCCTGTGCCAGGGCCTGGGATTCAACAATGAAAAGCAGAGAAAAATCACTACCATGAGATTTTGAAAAGTTGGCTTAATTAGTAAAAGTAATAACTGCTCTTAAAATGGACCTGATCTCATTTCTAAGCACTTCCAAAGGGTCACCCACAACCTCCTGTTACTCCAGCTCCAAGGGATTTGTTGTCTTCTCTTAGGCACCTCCAGTTGATTGGCATGTACTACATACACACAAATGTACACACAAGTAAAAGCTAAAACTAAACTATAAAAACGAGTATCGCTGTCAAAAACAAGTTTGAGCAGTTGTGAAGTTCTCATACATGCCCAATGGTGGTCTGTATTATTCTTCTTTTCAATCATTGTGACAAAATACCATAACCAAAAACAACTTGAGGAAGGAAGAGTTTATTTCATCTGACAAATCCCAGGTCACATTCCATCTCTGAGGAAGGTAGGGCAGGCACTCAAGGCAGAAACCTGAAACAGAACCTGAAGTTCTGCATCCTGGGACAGCAGTGAGCAAGGGCCAACCAGGAGCAGGAGACCCACACTCTTCCTCTTCCACATGACACACCCTGCTCAGGGTTGGTTTGCAGTTTGAGCCTGTTGGTAGCTCCCTGATGATTTCTACATGGGGTCTTAATGTAGGAAGGGGTGCTCAATGGACGTCAGTTAGATCTGGTAATCACTGCAGAGCCTAACTCTCCACTTTAAGCAGCATCTGCATGACTTCAGCCTCAGCCAGTGTAAGCTGTGACAGCTGCAACACCAGGAGGTTCTGACCCTGAGCTCAGGATCTGATTTCCTCATAGTGCTGCCCTCCTCCCTTCCTCCTTCCCTCCCTCCTCCCCCCTTCTGCCTCCCCTCCCTCCTAAGCTACTTTCTGCCCCTTCAGAAAAGACATTCTCTCACATGGGGATTGCATTTTCAACCAAACAAAATTAAACTTAGAATCTTCTCTTCTTAAATATCTATTTTAGTTACGTGCACAGGCTGGAAAGATGACTCGGTGTTTAAGAACACTGACTACCCTTCCAGGGAATCTGAGATTGACTCCCAGCACCCACATGGTGGCTCACAACTTCTATAACTCCAATTCCGGAGCATCCGAAGCCCTCTTCTCCCCTCTGATGGCACTGAAAGCATGTGGTGCACAGACACACATAGAATAAGATTTTAAAAAGTTATGTGTACATATGTGTCTGTGTAGCATGAATCTTAAAGAGTCTTATTAATAAAATCAAACCTGAGGCCAGTTATTGGAGTAAACACTGGAGATCAGACAGACAGAACAAACCACACCTAACCTCACCAGGC